CCACGCTGTCATATCACATTTTTGCAGCTGCCACCTTGCAGTTAAGACATGAACTTAATACAGCTGCAGGAGCTGCATCCATTTGTGCATTGACCTACATGAGCCAGCAGTAGCAAGAGAGTGAAAAATCAGAGAGACAAGTCTGAGTCCTTGTGCTTTAAATCTTTAAGTGACACTAAGTGCTCAGTGGAGAGTACCAGAAGGCAAGGTAAACACAGGCTTTGTCAGCCTTCAGTAAATCATCTCTTGATGGCACAAAGCAAAATCACTCAGTACCCCACAAACTGCTGAGGAAGGTACATCATTCCAGCAAGGACTCAGCGAAACATTTTATGTACCAGCCCCAGCATTTTGGCATCTGAACAAGATGCATGTTAGTGAAATCAGGAACAGTCGCTTTTCAACATCTGGAACAATTTCTGATTCCGTGAGGCTTCTGGGCCTTCTCTCAAGCCTCTTGCTAACAATCCACTTCTTTCACTTGAGCAGCCAGCACTATCCTCCACCCCGAGCTTGGTTCCAAACACAGTCATCCACTTGCAACACATCCAAATCGTTGGAAAAGAGAAACATAAACCCTGAGCAAACAAGTTGCATCTGCAACAACAGGCCTCAAATATTTATGTTGTTTATGAGGGGTTCCTCCATTTCCTCTCAATAATTCCATCAGCAACTGATGTTCTTAATCAAAACTTAAAGAACCTCCAGCACAGATGAGTCTTCTTACACTTTTAAAGAGCACCCAGACCTTCTGCACTGCTACTCATACTGCAGTAACCTGGGTGTGAAATTACAGGCTTAGATGATCAATGCACAAACAGCCATCACCGAAATCTGTTCTTGTACCACCTGCACTTTTACTGCAAGCCAACAGCCACAAAGCAGAACGGCTTTCAGTGGAATAACTCTGTGTTTAGATGAGAATTACAAACCCATGTCGCAACCACTGCTCTATGAAGCAATTGCTCTGCATCACTCCAGCACAGAGGAGAAATCCAGAAAGTTTTTGGGAGTGTGTGGTTCGTCACATCTTGCCCAGCTGCAGGACAGAGTGATGATCCATCTCACTTGAGAATAACTACAATGCTTGCCCTGGATCCTGACAAGAAAAGAATAACAAGGAACAAAAGACTGCTTTTGAGGTATTTCAGAGTGGAAAGAGCACACTTCACCCTGTTAGAATGACTGCCAGCAGACGCAAAAGCCAACTTCCATGATTTTTGTCATGTATGTATATTCCCATCCCCAGTGCACTAGTTTATCAAAGTCCAGACTTCAGCTACAGAAGACTCACTCGCTTTTGTATCCCTTAAAAACCCTGTCGATTAACATGCCCAGAAGACAAGCCCCAAAAAACAAAGTCTGCATTTAAAAACCCCAACTTGCAAAACAAACCAAGGCACAGAATTCTGTACAGTTTTCTCCATCTGAGACAAAGACATGAATATGAATGTACATGAACAGCTGGGGCTCACTGCTTCTTATGTTCAAACATGGAACCATACAAAGCCGAGACACCTGAGAACAAAAGGACTTCAGATGACAGAAGAGAGTGGAAAAGGCAGAGATTTCTGTTCCTTTATTTAAAAAATACAGAACTATTTCTTAGGGCATATAGTTTACTCCTTCTAGAAGACTAGAGCGCTTGTTTTTGAGAATAAACTTGAGGGGTTTCAATAACTTTCTATTGTGAACTATGGGAACTTTTACTTCCCATGAATACTTTAAGGAAAACAACTTCCGCACACCACTGCCTGCAACACTGATGTGTTCAAGGTCTGTAGTATGGAAGTTAGCACACCTAAGAGGGCGCAGACCAGAGTTCATATTTATCAGGAAAGCTGTCTGCTTCAGCACACTTCTAAGCTTTTCTCCCTTCCAATACAGCTGGTAGTACCACAAAAAGAAAGCCAGTGGCCTCCAGCCCCTCCTACCACGGCAGCACTGCATCAGCGCGCCAACACCCAGCTGAATTAACACTCACATCCCTGGCAGGCTCAAGGAGTCACAGAAGCATGCCAGTGCCAAGCCCTCTTTGGCAGCGAGAACTGGGTGAGTCAGGATGCTTCTCCCGCCCCGTCCCCATGCTCAGGTGAGATTAGTGATACTAAATCTCCAAAGCACGAAGGAGATGTGTCCCAACTTGACATGCCAGTGACCTACTTTGCAGAAGTGCCCAACACCCACAGCTCCCTATGAAGTCAACAAAAGACAAGGACATACACACCAGTTTTGAAATGGGAGAGCATGCTTTTAACAGAGGAAGCTGGTGAGAGCCTCGGGCCAGCTGTGCACATTAGGAGAATCCCATTTAGATCCATGTGGAGAACTGAGGGCACTCAGTACTACAAGTCCCTCAAGATGTATGTGTCTGTTTGGACGTATGTGTCTGTTAATTCCACCCATTTGCTGATAAGGAAAAGAGCACAGATGAGCTACTCCTTGTAGCTCACCTGCATCAGATATATACATTCCTGGATAATGAATGCTGCTGCTCATTTAACTTTCGCCTTCCTAGACAGGTGCATTCTCTTGCAAAATAAAATTATGTGTTATTCCAATGTAGCTGTCTTGTATAGAGATACAGACCCAACCTACTTTGCCCTAGTAAGGAATGAGCAGTAGCAAGTAAGATCAGAAGGCAATGCATGCTGTGTAACTCATGTGACTCCAACGAGGAGTCAGAAGAGAAAATACAAACACAGATGATGCACACTGAAAAGAAATTAACTCCACAGATAATGTCAAGTTCAGACAGTCTTAATCAACTCCCCTTGAGATTACCTGTTTCCCCATCTATGCCTTTCTCTTTGAAGAACCTCCATACTCTGCATTATTACTTAGTTTTCATTTTATTCCTGAAAACGTGTGTTACGAACACAAGCAATTCAGGGCTATATCATGTACAGCTATGTCTGCAAGCTATAGCTGAAACCACTTCCGCAGTCTTTAAAAACCAGATAAAACCACTGGTACCACACAAAATACAGCCTGGCGGCCAAGCTCCTGCTTTGAAGGATTTACAGTTATAGAACTGTAAGATACACTAAGGAACTCCTTAAAGCAGTGTCTAGCTGATGTGTATGTTGAAGCCCAACTTCAGCATCGATGTATCCAGGCACTAGCTACTGAACAGAGGAGAACTGTCTCCACTGTGCTCCCCAGCCCAAACCAGCACCAGTAACAGTCCATCCCTCCAGTTACTCCTCGGCAAAAGTTTCAGAGCATCTCTCTCATACAACCAATACATATCACAAGCTGGTGAGCTCAGCCAAAACTCACTTACTTCCCTAAGAGACAGATAACATCTCCACAACTGGCCTTTGCAGTTTCCAGGAATCTCTCAAAGCCCTCCACATTCCAAGGCCATGAAACAACAGCCTTAATGCTAACACCAGCAGACAGGTCCAAACAGGAAGAATCTGCAAAAGCAGTGATGTTGAGAGCCTGGTAAATTGTGCTCCAGCCCTAGGTACCCTGAAGCCTCCACGTGGGACTCCCAAACTGCTCTTCCTTCCACAGTTCTAATCTCTGAATCTTCTAACTACAGTAAAAATGCTAACATGGATGGGAAATGAAAGAAAGAGCCATCGATGAACATCTGCACACCTAAAGAAAGAAAAGGCATGATCACAGCTTGTAGCACCTCAAAGATACCACAACCCAGCCCCACAAGCAAGCACTTTACCTTGGTAGTTCATCCAAACCAAACAACCTGTGAGCCTCCAGACACAACACCGTACCTCTTGCTTTGACGGAGTTACCCCGTACCACCAGCAAAACCCCAGCCAAGCATCTGGCAGCACATTCAGCAGCAGAGTTCTTTGCAGGTTTCAGCAGCTAACAGGACTCAGCTGGCCTTCGCTAGGGGTTGGAGGTGGGAGGGAGAGAGGGATGTTCTCACTGAACCAGCCGGTTTGGAGAGAGAAACCTCCAGGTTCTGCTTCCCCGCTGCTTTCCTGAACCTGACATCTCTGGTATTCATGAAGTACAGACCTCTCACTAAACCTTGCCTCTACAAAGAAACACTGACTTGGAACACCAAGCTGCTCTCCACAAACTATAGCTGCTAAAATAACACAAACTAGATATTAAGGTAGGGGGAAAGATTGAATGAGAGACCCAAACAAGAGCAAATTCATTTTATGAACACTTTCTTACAAATAAAACAATTTGGCTGAGTAAGCACTGTTCAGCTTCACAACCAATATGTAAAACGTATAAAGAAAATAAATTGTGGCCATGTAGTGCTGTAAAACTCTGCATCAACTCCCCTTTGCGGAGCACTTGCTTGAAGCAACTCTTCTCCCCTTGCTATGAGGCATGGCAGCTCACTTGGAAACCATAGCTTGGATGAACTTAAGCCATCTCAAATTGGCATGGTTCACGTATCTGACAACTGGCTGGAAATTAATGCACAGAGAGGACACTGACAAGATAAGAGATCCTGACAGATTTTGGGAAAGCTAACAGAGAAATAACAGCAGTCACTCTGCAGAATAACAGGCAGAGATGAACAATCCAAGATGACCCTTGGGAATCACAACACATCAGCCAGCATTGGCCTTTCAAGCAGACAGCTGGGGACACAGTTACAAGCACCTGAGCTGTAAAGAAATTCCGGTTAAAACACTTATTTGTGGACTCTGTAAGAAAAATAAGCTCGTGCTTTGAAGGCCGGCACCTCGTGAGTTCAGCGCTGACACCGCTGAAGGCTGAATTCAGCCTCGGCTCAGGAGAGGACGAGCAGCCTCGGACACGCTCACCCCGCAGCGCACGGCTGAGGGGCCCGGAACAGCGCTGCTTGCAACTGAACTGCAGATCTTATCAACGAGATACGGTATTTTAAACTACTACCGAGAAACACGGAGCAGGGAAAGGGGAACTGGAAGCGCTGTTTCAGCCCAGTCGCGGGGCAAGGTCAAGCAGCGATCCCCGCGCCGCGCCTGCAGCCGCTTCACTGCGGCCAGAGCCCCCGCCGCAGCCCGCCCGCCCGCTACCTGTCCTCGGAGACGCTGATGACCCCGTCCTCCTTGGGCACAATCGCTGCCATGTTCACCACCTCCTGCGAGCCCTCCACTTTGTTGAGCAGGAGGGGCTTGCGGGTCAGAGCTTTGGGCTGCGGCTCCGCCGCCATGGGCACCACCGCTGCGGGAGGACAGACGTGCGGGTGCCCGGCAGCACCGCGCATCCCCCGGGCTGCCCGGGAAGCAGGAACCAACGCGGCGGCGGCGGCACCGCCCCCGAGCCGGGCCCCCGAGGGGCGTGCCGGGCCGGCAGCGGGAGGCGGGGCGAAGGGCGATGGCGGCCGGAGGCGTCGCCGTCTCGCAGCGCCCCCAGGGGACGGGTCCGCCTGCGCGGGGTGGGAAACGGGCGCGCTGAAATGCGCTCAGGCAGAGGTGGCCGTGGGTGCAAGGTAGGCTGCACGCGAGAATTCGCAGTGAAAGGGTCTGCAGGAAAGCAGGGCTTCTCGTATGATGGAAGCAGAAATTCACCTTCAGAGTTTGTCCCTAAGGGAAACGCGATGGGACTCTAGCAGTTGGATTTCAGCAAGCTGCTGCTGCACACTTGCGTTTCCCGTTGGATTTGGTGAGGTCCAAGAGAGTCCAAAGCTCTGCGCTTAAAAAAGCACTTAAGGTGTATACCAAAGGGGAACTTTGATCATCAATGTGGAGGACTCTGGAAAACGATGTGAGGTGTTGAACTGTAGTCTTGCATCATAGAAGTGATCTACTGGGCTGGAAAGCTGGAAAGCTGGAAAGCATTATTTCCTTCTAGCAATCCACAGGAGCATATGAGGAAGGGGAGCCAATTTTTACACAGTATGATAATGATAGAAGAATAAGGAATGGCTTTAAACTAAAAGAGGTTTAGGCAGAAATTCTTTACTGAGAGGGTGGTGAGGCCCTGGCACAGCTGCTCAGAGAAGTCAGGGGTGCCCCATCCCTGGAGGCACTCAGGGCCAGGTTGGATGGGGCCTTGGGCAGCCTGAGCTGCTGGCTGGCACTGCCCATGGCAGGAGGCTGGAACTGGATGATCTTGCAGGTCCCTTCCAGCTTGAGCCACTCTATGATTTCAAGTGCAATATTAAATTCACCCACAATAAGGTGAGTAGTGGCAGTTCTCTAATGAAAAAAAAATAATAATTCAAGCCAACAAAACATTGCTCCTGACTGTCAGTAGAAAAACTGAGGATCTTATGAATTCAGTGAATAGGGATATATTTTTTGTGTCAAGAGAACTGAAAACTAAGCTCCAGGTAATGTTTAGTAAACTGAATGTGTTATGCTAAACAAGGAAGCAGTACCTGCAGGAGCAGAGAGGCACTGAAGCTCTGCTTGACTGCAATACGTGGAGTTCACAAGTGTACTGCGGGGGGAAAGGTCTGGTAGGCAACAGATAATGGCTTGCAGGAAATGAATCTGCACTCTCAAGCTATTTCCCAGAGGATGTATGATTGCATTAGATAACATGCCTTTCTCACAATTCATAGAAGGGAAACTACTACCAGCGAAGCAGAAATGCAGAGCAGCCCTGCTACTACTGTGGATGACCTGAAGTTCTAGGCTGGTCCTACAGCCAGAAATGCTTGCCTTGCTACTTGATGAGATGTGAGAGGTATTTTTTGAAGATGTTAATATAATGGATAATTTTCAGAATAGACATATATCTTAAAAATGTCTTTTAAAACAGAAGTCTGAAGAAATCTGGCAAGGGCTGCTCCCTTTGCAGTTTGTTTGTATTCAAGACTTGGCACTATGCACTGTTAGCAGATAAATGGGGGCTGACTGTATGCAGAAGGCAGCATACTGCAGGGAGACATACAGTGCTTTTTGTCCAACAGACTCCTAAGGAAGTGAGTAAGGGGGAAAGGAGTGTCATAATAAGCAGAGGCATAATAAGAGTGACATAAAAAGCAGGTTCACCATGACTCCTATGCATCTTCCAAATTAGCTGTTGATTTTTTTTTTTTTTTAAATTCTTTTTTTTGTCATTTGCCTATTAAGGTGTTACATTTTCCTATTTACCTTGCCTCTCCTGTATCTTTAAACATTTTCAGACAACACTTCTCCTTCAAGATTTAAGATACTGTTCTTCTGGAGGAAAACACTGTAAGCAATCTGAGATGCACTGTTTGTTTGCATCTCCTTTTTCCAAAAAGGTGAGGGAGAAACTTTTCTTAGTGGCTATGACACAGTTGTTGGGGTGCACCTGTTGAATGTGGGTTTCAAGGGCTGCTACTAACTACATGCATTTGGATGAAAGCCAAGTAATAATATGCTGAAACAAAATCTATGCTTTATATAAAAATTTGGGGTTTTTTTGGCAATAAAAACCCACTGAAAAAACAGTTAAAAAGAAGCCAAATCCACAATGCAAGAGGTGCTCCAGTGGGTGTACAGACAGTCAAGATAAAAATTTTCAGGACTTATATTAAAGATTAGCTTTAATGGTGACTTCCTCAGCAAGACTAGAAAGGCACTTGAATAACAGAAAATTAATGGTGTCCTGAGGTCTAGTATATCACTTTATGTGGTGTCAAAACCTGTGGTCAATGCTCTAATCTCCCTGATCAGGTAGGGAAATATGCTTGAGATAGTCTTCCATGCAAAGCAGAGATTGAATGGCTCAGAGAACAAAAAGTGATGCTTGAAAGCTGTGGAGGGTAGGAAGGAAAGCAGTGAAAAAATAAGAAGATCTCAGAGTAAGCCAGGAGCCTGTAGCGTACTCCTGTGTTGTACCTGACAGGCTAGGGTCATAGTGATGGAAAATAGATTGATGAAATTACCAAGATCTGAGTGGTTTTCCAGATGTACAGTTGTCACACGTAATCCATCCGAAAATGATTTGCATTTTAGAATCAGTCTTCTTACAACTACACAAATTAAGGAACAAAAAGACTTCAAGTTAGAATAGCTATACTCATAACTTTAATAACTACTTACAGAATCAAACTGAGGGTAGTTTAGAAAAGCGTTTCCCCTCCAAAAAGAAAAAAGAATCAAGAAAAGAAATCTTACAAATACTGCTTAGCAGGTTTTTTTCCTTCCATTTTCTATCATAGCTTTATAGCTAAAACACATGGATTAAAAAGTATTTCTAAGATTATGTCTTGCAGCTAAATTAGAAGCCATGAAAAGCAAGCTTGTATACTTTTTCAACATTCATGAAAAGTACAGAATTAAAAATGATTCTTGTCAGGTATGTATTTTTTTGCAGGTACTGCCATGGTATGCTTGGAATATTTGGACTTTCCTGTAAGAATCTATCTGCCAGTAACACAGGCTGAAAAACGAGGTGAAAAAAACACTTAATTGCTATCAAATTAATACTTCATCTTTGTATCTTAGTGTCATTTTCTATTACTGTGTATTTTGGTATGCAACAACAGTAAATGAAGCGTGCTTCTCTCTTAGATTTGGTTGCTGTTTTTGTTTGGTTGTTTGTTTTTGTTGGTGCAGGTTGACTTTCATCAGCTCTGGATGGAATGGAACTGGCCTACCTGCCTGCTTGTAAGACTAGACTCCATGTTCCTGTGCTGGAAGAGGACAGAGGAGCTCTGGGAAAGGGCACTGCGCTGTTTTGAACTGGTGTGCTCACACACCGTGGAGCTGCTTCCATGCCCTCATATCACACCGGAGCCTTGGTTATTTTCTGCAGATTCTCCTCTGCAGTCTGGTTCGAAGCTTGTGAGCTGAAACCAGTTCCACAGCTTCCCTGGCACTCTGCTTTAAAAGTTGCTCTCTGGCTCCATCTTCTGTTTGCTGAGTTTTGTTTTTCTTTTCTAGCTTTGGTATAGCAGGGAGAGATTTTTCTGAGTTTTATAAAGTGTACTTGTTTTAAAAAGTAGGTAATTGCTTCTTGTGTGACAGTTGTGACCATCAGGTGAGCAGGTGGCCCATGGGGACCTGGGCTTTCCCAGCTCTACCATTAGCCCTGGTTTTAGATACTTGTTTCTGCCAGGCTGTTACTGCTGGTAGAACCAGAAGAAAACACAGCCCCAAAAGCAGTGTTTTCCCTTTTGGGTAACTGTTTTGCAAAATGGTGGCATGATCTGACAACACAGTGACACCTTGCAAACCTTTCAGCTAGAACTGGAAAGCATTGGGGCCACCAAGTAGGAGTGAGATGACTTCAATAAACAGCTTGAATTTTGTGGATACTAACAAAAACAGTCCTTTAGTTGAGTGCTGAGCAATTATACATGTGTAATATTTATAATACCAGGAACAAGCTTTTCATAAAGAAAAAAAACCGATTTTCTGTTGATTAAATTTTAGGCCAGAAGACATGCCCCTGTGAGCTGTGAAGTAAACTGATTGCGGTTGCTCTCACTCTGCAAGAGGAACTAATGTGGGAGAGAAGCTGCGCTCTTCCCGATTCAGAGCTTAGTTTCAAAAGTGCTCTATTGACAGCGAGCCAGATTTCAGCTTCCGAAGCCTCTTCCTCAATCACCCATGCAGAACCAAAGGGCTTGTACACACAAAAGGTAAAAACACTTGGCAACAAGTAGAGGCACCTCTCAATAGCCATCAAATGCAGCAGCGGCTTACTCCTGCCCATGATTTTCTACTCTGTTGGTAAGCTAAATGTTTTATCACTTTATACTACATGGGATTTACTGTTTCTTCAAAGCCTGTAGCTCAATGCAACTGCAAAAAATTTGTCCTTAAAATTCTCTCCTTTGCAGTTGCCTCTTTTGTCAGCAGTGATAGCCTTCATGAGATAGTTACTAAAAAATTGATTTCAGATGTTACATCATTCTTAGAAGCATGTGGGAAATAGATATGGATCCATTCTTCATATAGAAAGGCAAACTTCACAGAGCACCAAAGGATTCAGTGGGAAATACATTTGCCCATCTTCCTCAAAAATACAAACTGTTGTAAAACTACACTCTTATTTTGCTCCAGATATTTATCATTCATTCAGTGAACAATACTGCCTATCACATTTCTGATAACAAATCCTTCTTGTTATTAGTTTTATGTGGGCATTCAGAGAATGGGGACCTATCAGAAATCAGATCTGCTGTATACAGAAGTTCTGAAAAAAAGAAAGATTAGCTTTAAAACATACGCAAGGCACTATGCATAGCACCTTGCTGAGAAGAAGTGCACTAATTTTTAGCTGCCATGTAATTGCTGTTGGCTTTGTAACTGACTGTGAACATGTGAGAACAAAAAAGTGATGCTGTGTCAGTGTGTGGGCTGCAAATGAGAACTCCTGGCTCATGCATTTTGCCCCATAAGCAGTTCTGGCATTGTATGCAGTCTTATTGCTGTTTCCTTTGTCCTCGCTGATCCAGCTATAGTATCACTCAAATTTTGGGCTTCCAGCTTGGTGTCAAAAATCTCTGTAATTTAAATCACTGCCTTTTTGGTGGAACACTCTGATCACTAATTCTTATAAGCTCATTATTCTTGTATTTTTCTAGGCCTCAGGACTTCAGAACTTGTTCTAGATCTTCCTTCTCTGTGATACTGAAGAATCAATACATTCATATTCTATTTGGAAAATGGATTAAAGTCACCTATGTAACTTGGTTAAAAGGTAAATAAATGTATCTTACACAGGCACAAACAATACTTTGAAAGTATTTGAAAACTTTGAAGCATTTCCGTTTTCTTTTTTTTTTTTTTTCTAAAATATACAGTTAAGAACATTTCTAGGGAATATCAAAGAACACTTTTTTTTTTTTTACAGCAGCTTGTGTTTTTTAATTATTTTATTTTTCTTTACTACCAATCACGCAGCCCTGGATTTTCCTAGGACAGCAAAATACTTTCAACCAATTGAGCATATAGAAGTCAAAAAGATCAAAAGAGTACTACCTTGGACACGAGAAGAAGTTTATGAAGGTGAGCAGTTTTCTTGAAGTTGAACCCTTTCAAAGATTACTCCTTACTGCAAATACACAGAAACCTTCAAAGTATACAAAACCAGCATGAGAGTCTTATTAAAAAAAATAGGTAGACCCTCACCATTAATTTTTTTTCAACTCAACCCTGTAACAGCAAGTTTATTTAAAAGCTTGTGTTTTCTGAACCAGGGTAGGTGAACTTTCCCTTTCAGTGGAGAAGAATTCTGAAAAACCATGGAAGTTGAAGCGTGTGCAAGAGCTTGTGACTCAGTACCATAGGGCTTTCTGAGGAGTTAAAAAAGAATCCCAAATTGTTCAAATGGACTCTTTCAGGTCTTATTCTGTGTAAATGTTATGAGTCACCTTCACTTTAGCAAGTAAGTCAGCATTTCTGGCCCTTACTGAAGCAAGGAGTTTCTCAGTCTGTAAGCATATACATACATTCCAGTGATGCTAGATGTAGATGGGCACTATTATAGACAGTGTTGTGAAGCATTTAGTTCCTTGACTGCCTCATGACCCTTCCTGATCAGCATGATTTTTATTCTAGATAGATTTCAATCCAAATATCTGATTGCCTTGAATATCTTGGAGTAAATTCATAAGTCTATAGTCAGAATCTACAGAGTACACTTTGATTTTGAACTTATATTCCTACCAAAATCAGTTTTGGCTGCTTTGAGCATATGATTTTGGAAGAAGTGTGGGTACGCAGGCAAAAAAGATCTATGAAAACAGGAAAAATACTTCTTATTTTTAAAACAGCAAACACTCTAGAGACAAGAGGCCACACATGTTTGAAAGGGAAAACCAGTTATTCAGTTACGTTCTCATCTGTAACTTGACGACCTCCTTGTGTAAAAATACTATCTGACAATTACCTCTGTAAAGACTGAAGAACTGGTGAATGCCTATCTTGTACCTCTGACAGCAAATGAGGAAAGTCCAAATGGGGGAAAAAAAGTCCTGGGACTGACTGAAAAAAAAAATGTTTTACATTCTCACAAGTTTAGATTAGAAGCCTGATGTTCAGGCTAAATGGCACCAGCATAGCCTCTGAATTGTATTATTAATATCAGCACGAGGGAATTTTCACACACAGGCTCTAAATAAGGTATCAGTGTCAATGAGAAAGGCACTCAAAAAGATCCATATGAGGCCAAGTGACGCTCTGAGGTCAAAAGAACTCATCTGCTGTGTTAGATAAGTTCCCAGTAATAGGAGGGAACAAGGTGATAGTTATTTTTTACTGAACCGTAGCAAGAAACACCATAAGAAATGGCCATGTAAGTGCTTCTTGAAGTGCTTGAATGAGAAGACCTTGGATAAAGGGCAGACAGTAATCATGAGCATGTAAATACCCTCTGTTGTAATGAGTGAGTGTTGGAAAGGAGTTTCCCAATTTGAAAAGCCACAGGGCTATGCACGTATTTACGTATATACTTAAACATGTTGAAAACATAAAATGAAAAAAAAAAAATGCTTTCCCCAAAGCCAGAGAGCCTGAGGCCATATATGCAGCAATGAGTTTTGCCCTAGGACAGGTCCACCTCTATTGGTTCACAGATCCTCTCTCTTTGTTTTTCAGACCTTGCCATTTCAGTTTCAAGGCCAAACAGGTAGCACACTAACATCACAGAACTAAATTACCTTTTTCCTCCAGTAAAGCCTGATCATACAAAACTGTCTATGGGAAATGGTCCATATTCCATGTTTTCCTCCAACCTGTGTCCAAATAACTTTTAAGAGAGTCCTAAAAGTCATAGTGCCAAAACTGCCAGGCAACATGCTCACAATTCAGTTGTTAGAGCTCCGCATAGCAGTGCCGAGCATTGGCCTTTTCAGTTTACCAGTTGCACAGCAAAAGACGGCAATGACAGTGCTTTCTAATGGGATACAAGCACTACAGAACAATAGCAGCTGACAAAGAAAATTGGCTCACCTTTCCAGCAACCAGTGATCAAGAAGAGCACAATCTCTATCTGGAGATATATTGCTCATCTGGCTGCTAACCCTTAAATGAGGGAGAGGAGCAGCAGACTCAGAGTCCACCCTGTTCCATCACTCAGGTGCATTGCTTGCAGCTGAGCTCCCTGGGTTAGCCACACCTTCTCACCAATGGTTCTCAAGCATTGGTTCAGGCTGTGACCTGGCAATTCTACTGCATCACTGTAAATGTAGCTGATGATTTTTTTTTCTGGAGTTTTAGCACCTAACAACAGTTTGGCTACAGTGACCCTAATGCCATTAAGAGCAGGTATCAGCAAGACATCTACTGGGCTTTTCTGCATGTGTGGTGAGGGTCCCAGGCAGCTGCTCAGGAGTCTGAGTGTTGTTCTTGTGATGCCAAATTCTCCGAATTTTGTCATGGATACTTCATCTACTAACAGATAGAAAAGAGAGAAATGTATCAGTGTCTGGTGGTATGCAGCTACCAGCAGTACAATGAACACAACCCCCAGTGAGAAGCCAAAATCCAGATCCTTCCCAAGGGAAATTAATATGATTTTGCACTAAAAGCTTAAAGGTTTGTAAAAACCTTTTCGTGTGCAAACAGTCCAAATTCTCTCCACTGCAACTGAAGAGGCAGAAAAACAGATGACAAGCTAGGACAACTTCTCAGGACTAGGTCCTGATCTGAATGGTGATGTAGGAGGAAGGAACAGTTGTCCAGCTGCCATGCAATGTCATAGTGTGTGCACATTACTACTCAGGGCTAATCTGGTTCCAATGTCTCAAAACCCTCTTGTAAGACTACATTTGAATATACATAAAAGTGACAGTCAAAGTTTTTCCTACTGTGGATTTTTCTAACTATTGAACTCTTTAACTCTTCCCCCAACTTAAGGGTTGACTCTGTCAGCTCTGTTTTGTTTTTGTAGCAGTGCTTTTTCTTTAAAATTATATTTTGATTCATTTCACTGTATTCACTCGTGTCTTTTTTTTTTTTTTTTTAAACCAGAAAAAATGCAAGTATGGACATTTATATACGAAAACATACATACACATAAAGATTCAATGGAGAATGAGGGAGAAATGCCATTTCTTCTAGCCAAGACAATTCTCAAGGGGAGATTTATACACTTTTTATGCTTTGTTTTTTAGAAAGCGGTTACATGCTGTCCTAGTGCTGACTAGCAGAAGAACTAAAAGTTCTTGGACCACCAGCAGCAAGAAATCACAGAGTTGTATTTACAGAGGCCATTAATTGTCCAGACTGTTGGGTAACAGATTCTGATAAACACGGATCATGATATGGTTCTTGAATTATGCAGAGGATTATTTCACAATCCAGAAAACAGAGAATTCAAGCATAGAAATAGCCATACAAAACATCTTACTGCCAGCTGGGGAGGAATTTGCAATAACATCAGAATTACAGGAAAGTTCAGTGCTACTGACAGTGGTGTGCTGGATCACTCTGTGTTGATAAGGAACAGCTTTACTCAGTGGTCACAGTTACAGTCACATACTCCACAAAGTGACTGACATTATGGCAAAATGGGCCATAGCAATTAGAGGAATGTTGTGAAAAAAGCTAACTGGACAGAAGTAAAGCCTGCAAATGTCTTAGTGAAAACTACTGTAAAATATGTTGCTACATGGGTAATAGATTTCAATATAAAAAAAAAAAAAAGGTACTTAGGAAATGATGAGCAGATGTAGCAGTGGGAAAAGAAAAAAAAAAAAGCACTATGGTGGAAACAGGCTGGAGCATTCCAAATGATACATAGTTAAAGCACAACAAATCTTAGCTCCTCTTGAGAAAGGAATATTGCCCCTTTCCCGGTAACTTAACTGTTCAGTAGAGGACCACAAGCGAGCCCAGTACTGCTGCCCTTTACTGTAATCAGGTTAAAGGGCTGTCACTTACCTCTGAAATGGGAGCTCAAGTGATATCTGTCAACCTTTGGAAGATTTGCTGGATCAGGAGTTACTTATTAGCTGCTGCTGAAGTCAAGCACAGAGCACAGCCAATCATTGAAAACACAGGGAGTGAAGACTTGTCATCTTGTCAAATGAGCAGTTTCAGCTTTTTTCTCTCAGCCAGCTGTGGAGAGCCATGCTGAGTATCCAAGATAAAACATCAGGAAAAAGATATTGTAACTGATGAGATAGAGAGATAGAGATAGAGTAACTAAAAGATGAGATAGAGAGAACCTGAAATAGAAGACATGAATGAAGAACTGATCAAGGAAAATGAAATAAATTGGGGAAAAAAGTCATGATACTGTGAAAAGGGATGCAATGTATGTCACACTTAAAAGCCTAGATTTGTCTCCTTTGAATTATTAACCTCCGTCTTCCTACAAGACCACAGTAATGCAGATCAGTGGTAGCTGAGTATTCACAGCTCACATAAACCAGTCAAACATGAACACATACAACAGTGTCAGGGCCCTCACAAAACAGAAATAACAGCAAATAGAAATACCTCAGGAGATGGAAGGAGCAGGAGGATCTCAGGGAAAGCATTACACTCAACGCGCAACCAGCGTACACAGTGTACTTTGCCATAACTGGAGAAGTGTATGCTTAGCATCAGCATGAATTATGGGAAGGGATTTCTTGGACTTTTCGTTTTGGATCAGTGTTTGGAAAATAACCATAAACTGTATATTGACTTCAAAATGACTTACCAACAGGAAAATATTAGAACTGATCCTGAAGTGCTCAAGGCTTTCCGATTGCAACATCGTGAAATTCAAAGCCATCTGCAACAACAAAAGAACCCATTACTGACCAAGCAGCACTGCTGGATGAAGAGTGTTATTGTGATGAAGAGTTACACGTACAATTCAAGGTTCATTACAAGCTGGTCTCAACTCTCTTCTAAAATTTTCCTTGTGAGAAATGCTTTTGTGATTTCATCTTGGTGAGAATTATCCTTTTATACTTTTCAAAGCAATGTTTTAAGTGTCTTTCCTTCCCATTTGGGATTTTTCTGCAAGAAGTCGCTTTCTGCAAGTTACTGCCAAGCAGATTTGCCCACTGTGGACTTGACTTTGCTGCGCAAGATTTTGGACCTTTTTAACAAGTAAGTTTTGTATCAGGGCTTCAACATTCATCTGAAAGCAGAAACAAACCCAATCTCCTTGTATTTTAATTGTATCTTTTGCATAACGTGCTCAACAAATAGTCGTAAACATCTAGCCAAAGGTGCTTTAAGTCAGGGAATACAGACAAACACATTTCTTCCTTGGATGAAAAGATGCTTTGCTTTTTATCAGGTTTGTTTTATTCTAGAATACCGGTGTCTTCGCTTTATAGACGGCCTTTGTAGAGAGTTCCAGTTACTTGTTGAGGTTTGATAAGTTTTCATTAAATGCTAAGTGGCAAAAGGCAGCCCAAGAGGCATTTATTCCATCTGACACCAGTCACATGATTTCGTAGAGCAATCAGTTGCATCTTTCTTTTACAGTATATTCTGTTTTGGGGCAGTGCATAATAATCACATTTTGAGTAAAGGCTGGATAATAAATTTTACCACGTGCCAATACTGTAAAGAAAAGACTCCTAGCTCTCAAATACTGCATGCAGGTATGGTACCTCAGTGGGATACACTTTAGGGATGAATGTATAATTCTGCCTTCTAGTTTATTATGACCATACCGATTACTCTGGCCATTCAAAATAAATAAAATAGACCTCGTTGTTTTGCCTCCCTGCAAAGCCGCTTGTAGAATATTTTTAGCTGTAACCACTCCATGCTCCAAGCCGACTGTAGCAGCAATTGGTGTTCTTGCACCACTTGATTAGTTGGATAAATTCTGCATGCTCATGTCTGGGATCCATGGCAATAGAGTTACGTTGCTATGCTATGAAATGTGCAGGAGGGTGCAACCCTTCAGAAGGGATATGATTTCTGGAGCTGATGAAACTTTGCAGCGTAGGCAAGAAAGAATGCTTAAGGCAACAAACAAAAGAAATCTCTGGAATGGTGACAAGTATCACTCAGGTTGGTGGGTATAGGCAGAGCACCCATCTCTCAGGGAAACAGCTATCTGGAAATTGTTAAAAAATTATGTTGCGGGCAAAGATTATCCTAATTCTGTGCTGGACATCTGAGAAGAGAGCACATGGCAGCAGCATGTATAACAGGTATTTATGTGAAGGGCTGAATTAACCCATCGTGATTCATACAGGAGCTTTTAGTCAGAGCTAGTAAAGTGAGAAAACTAAAAGCCAGGGTTCTAACTAAAAGCTAAAAAATAGAGATTGCTGCAAGCAGTCTCTCACAAACTATCTGATAGATGTAACTATTATTTCTGGCCTTACTGATGACAGGATTTCTTTTTTTCCCCTGGCACAATAAGCAAAAGTATCCTCAGACCTGTTGTTTTAAAACTCTTCCTGTTTTCATGGCCTGGGAAGAGGAGGGAAGATGAGAAGTCTGTACCTGTATTATTCCCTAGGCACTGTGGTACCATCAGGAATCAAGTGGACTGCTGCTGCCAGCATCTCAAAGATGAATAAATTCAAGAAAAAGGAGGTGGGGAAAAAGAAATAAAAAAAAGGTAAAAATACCTATGCTTTCACATGCCAGAGAGGTTTTCTGTTCTCTTTGGGTCTTGACACTGCTAGCTGAATTACCCAAGAGACTGAATTTAAAAGCTTGGAGTTGTGACAGGTTTTTGTTCTTGACCAGGATCCTACCTGAAGTGAAAGGAGCAATGTAACACATCTGGAAGGATACATAAGGACTGTAAATCTACTAAAATTCTACTGCCTTATTAGAACTGTAATCTTGAAATGTTTGTTCTAAGCAGTTTTCTCCACGTTAAATTTAATATTTCCCTAAAGTGCCAAATAGAAAAGGCTCTGCTCTGTTAAACACTGTTAAAAACGTATGAAGACAACACGTAGCCCAGAAGACCTTTCAATCTAAGGCCAGTAATACCAAAGGAAAAGCAGGTATCAAATAAACAGTCTTAATTTGATTTTATCTTTCTCTTCTATTCAGGTGCCTTTAAACCTTTCTATCATTAATTGACTGACTTCCACTGTCACAGCACAGATGGTCCTCAAAGAGATTAGTTTTTCCTCAGAAAATAATCTTACTATGCACTTCCATCACAACGCACTTTTGAAAAGCTTAAGTACTTCACAAATATTCATGAACTTCATCTCTTGGTGCCCACATTCAGTCTGGACAGTTAGAAAACAAACTATTTCAAACCATCCTAACACCAATTTCCTTGAAATTCCACATTAACTATTCTACCCCTGGATGGCAAACTAGTGTTCTCTGTGCTCCGAGCTATTGAGCCAGGAAACAGCAAGGGATTTGGATGAATGAAGTAGTGGTGGGGAATACAAAAATCCCTAGGAAGCTTCAAGAGCTATCCTCTGGGCTTCCCGATCCACAAGCAATGAAAATGAAGCTGTGTTTGAAAATGGGCCAAGAGAAGCCAGAATGCAACTTCTTCTAGGGGTCATCATTCTGCAGAGTGGCGTAATTTACTGTGCTGGGAAAGCTAAAGTACAGGCTTCTAAAAGGTGCTAGACAGTCTTGAAGGCAGACAGCTGCCTCTGCAAAATTTAGAAAAATAGGCATTCTTGGTCAAAGTCCTAGAGTATAGATAAAAAACTGAGATCAAATTATCTTAATGTCACTTTTCTGAAAAAATGTTAGGGATAACATCTTATCTGAGCCTTCTCAGAGCTTTATAGTTACCTGAATTACAGTTTCTCTTTGGGAACAATTTCAGGAAGAGGGGGAAAAAAAGAGTAAGGTAAAAAAATCTCTGAATATAAAATAGAGAAAAACAATCCATCTAACAATATAAGTTCCCATGTAGTCAAGTTCAGGACAAGTGGAAAACATCATTTTATTTATAAATAAAGCAAATAAACCAAATGCACAGAGCTTGACTAAAGGAAGACGAAAGGGAATATGATGCAAGCACTAAAACTCAGAATGCTATACAAGGATATATGTTTTAGTGATGAGCATCAAACTAAGCAATGGAAAAATTAAAACTTCCAATTGTGAAAAAAAAAGTGTGGAAATGACAAATTGCAAGGCTATGGAACGGGATTTTAAAGGAAGCTCTGAAAAATCTACCTGTGTCATTAAAACCTGAGCAGACCAAGATCTTCACATCTTTGTGAAATTGTTCTGCGTACAGGAGGAGAAAGGCAATTTAAAATAAACAAATAAATACATAAAATATTAAAGTTTAACTGCCAGTTGTACTTCAAGCCTGTGGTTTAGGACAAAATAAGCCTAACACTCTGATAATATAACAAAAGTGAACAGTGAATATTCACTGGGAGAAGTTGTTTATCTTCAAGGAAAAGAGAAAAAACAAACAAACAAAACAGTAACAGTATATCAAAAGCCTTTTTTATTTTTAAATAATTTTATTTTCTGGCTCGTATTTTATATTCATACTCGTATTTATATTTTGCTTTACAGTGCTAGCATTTCAATTTTAACTGAAAGTTGCACTTTTAATACTGCTCTGTTTGTCCTCAGATGAACAATGCCCACTCTGAAGATGAGTACATGAGTATTCTTAGATGTGGATGTACTCTCATAATCCCCTATGGATGCATGAAAAATAATAAACAAAAACTGTGAACGAAAGAAGCTGGAATTGTTTTCGTTGTCGGTACAACAAGATTATTCCTTCAGACAGAACCATGCTGAATTAATTCACCTAGATTTAGGAGAAAAGCTAGAACAAGCTCATTTAGCCTGTGCATGGGGTATAATTTTGTCCATCATGTAGAAGGGCTTAAATCAAAGAAAGATGCATCTATTTTCAGTGATAGTTTCACACTCTTGCTGCTCAGCTGCATCAGCTGTATCAGTAATGAGCATAAGCACTAATATCACTAGGTTTTGTTCCTTCATAGCAAGTCCCTTGTACAGATTTATAAATGTGGCTCTGATGGCAGCACTAGCCATTATGGCTCTCACATCAAGAGGCTGATACACACTTAGGCTTGGGTTGATTATCTTTGAAAGAATCTTTCTCAATATTAATCAAATTGGCCAGCTCCCAGCAGAAAAGTAATGCCTACTACAGACAACACAAAACTACCCTTCATTCTGCCCTATAGGGGATCTAATATGGTTCTAATATAACATGCACAGAAAGAACTCAATGTTCCAAATGGCTTCAAAGATAATAGCAAAAAGAAAGCATGTACAGAATTCACAAAGTATTTCTGCTTGTATAAATCCCATTGGAGCTGCGTGAGTTTTGTCTGTGGGATTCTTTTATCAGTGATGATCAGTGGGGCTGAGCAGACCGGGGCAGAGTAAGCCCAGATGCTCCAGTCCCACCTTCTTCTCATGTTGGTAAGGAAAACACAGTGTACCTATTGCTTCCACTTTCAAAGTCAATTCAGAATTCTTGCTATTTTATGACTGACTCTGCTACTAACAGTTAATATGTCTTTCACTCCCTACCCCCACGCACACTCTTTCATTTACTGGCAACAAAAATAAAAATTCCAAATGACCTTCCAGGCCTTGCACAGAGTCTCCATGTCCCAGGCTGCCTTTCATGTTTTCCTGGTATGGCAAGTATTCTAAAATGCCTTACTTTTTTTTTTGTTTGTTTAATTTTTTTTTCCCCCTGCAGTTCGCAGAAGGCTACCTCCCAGAAGCTTTCCATTTTTAGAATGCTCTCCAAGAAAATGGATGCTTGACACGTAAAATAGGTGGTCTTTTATTAGGACAGTCAATGAAACATCACTGATACACAAATAGGAGAGAAGATGGCATGTCTGAAAAACGTGCCTGTAAGAGATTTAAAAGAAAGCCAATTAAGAGGCCAACATCATACACTCAGTCAACTTGACTCCCAAGTGAAGCTACTAATCCCAAGGCATGATTTGTTAAAGCAGCATTACGGCCTTCAGTTAACTTGAATCCCACCACCTCAAGATGATCACCAGCCTCACAGCAGCCAATCCTGCTGACCTCAGGAGCTGCACACCTGACAGAGAACCAGGTGATGCACACAATTGTCTGTGAAGAGCTGAAAAGAAGAAGGACATCTCAAAATACAGCTGTGGACACAAAAAGATTGTGAACCAAGTCTTTCCAGTAGTCCAGAGGTTTTAACTGCATAATGGGGCCTGGCATGCAACTGATTCCAGAGCAACCCAGCAACGTGCCTTGGCAGCATCTTCTGGTTTACTTCCCCTAAAAGCAGAGGTTTGGGTTTACCAGTAGAACCCAGACCAGAACAGCCTTGCAGTTGGTCACAAGACGCAGGACTGCTGCTAGAGCTTTGAAAATGAATGGCTGGAAAGAAACAAGCAGCTCGGGAATCAGCGAGTACAGACAAGCTTCGCCATTCTTACTAGGCTGAAAAATATTCATGACACAGGCTGTTACCATAGAAGAAACATAGTTGCCAAACTTCATTAGCCCTCCACTCTAAACATGAGAGTTCCTTTACAGATCTTACAGGCTGGAGATTCCTTAGTGGCTCCTAGCAGCGACCAGGATAAAAGACAATATCCCTGACGCTGCCCCAGTGCCTCGGGATGGATGGCACAGGTCACAGGTGCCAGTAGGAAAGCCAAAATATCTATTCACAGCAATAAGGACGTATATAAACCTGTAATGGAAATGTGATTTCTCCTCTGTCTTTCCAGCCTTCCTAGAAACTAAATGCTAATATTTCATTAGTCTTAAAAAAAAAAAAAAAAAAAAAAAAAAAAAAAGCCAAAAACAGCTCTTGCCTAACAAGACAGAAATGTTGCCTGGAAGAATGAAATGATTCAAACCAGGACACTGCCAATTTTATCTTGAGAGAAGGAGTACAGTGGCTTCGTACCTTCTAGAGCAGTGGCTGTGGGAGCACATCAGCTGGATTGGGGGAAAACATCAGCCAGAGAGGAAGCAGAGCAATCTCCTGAACAGATTATGTTCAGAAATGGCTCTGGAGTCAGCTCTCCGAGGCTGGGAGAGCAGGAAAGGCGCAGGCACAATTGTGGGGAAAAACAAACAGAAACCTCCAAAGGACGGAGAGCTCAATCTTAGGCATTAATTGGCTGGAAACACTCCACAGTGATGCGATTTATAGGAAGTAAATTCGGAGTGCCCAAGCACGGATCAAAGGGACACCGGTGTTAAACTCTGCCTGCGCGTAGGGAAAAGGTCACAGCTAAGGGCAGCCAATTTTTTTTTTTTCATCTTTTTTTTTTTTTCTTTATTTTTCCACCAAGTGAAAGACCAGAGCGGGTCTCTGGGAATTCACCACACGACGAGCCCGGCGCTGAGCCCCGCGGGTCCGTGCCCGGGCTCCCGGTGTCCCCTCACAGCCCGCAGGGCGGTCCGGGGCTCTGAGCGCTGTGCAGGACCCCGCCAACCCCCTCGAAAATAAAACGGAGAGCACCGCCCTTCACGCCTCGGAGGGCGACGAGCTCAAGCAACAGCCGAACGACGGCCTGGAGGGGCTGGGCTGGAATGGGATCAACGCGCCGACCCTCAGCCCCCACCCCGGGGCAGGCGGGGACTCCGCTCCGCGCGGGGACGTTCCCGCGGCCTCGAGGAGAGCGGCGGCGGCAACGCCCGCCCCTTCTCCCCCCTCACCGTGACTCACCCGCGGGGACAAACCGCCGCCGTCCCCTCCCCGCTGGGCTGCGGTCCCCCGGGCCAACCCCGCCACCCTGGCGACCGCCGTCCCCCGCCCTGGTCCCAGCCGGGCTCCCGCCCACGGCCGCAGCCCCTCGACGGGGCGCTGTCCGCCCGGAGCCCGGCAGAGGGGCGCCCCCTCCCGCCATTTTCGGAGGAGCGGCGCCCCCCGATCGCCGCCTCTGTCACCCCCCTCACCCCACCGCCACTGCGCATGTGCGGCAGCGGCGCTCGGACGCGCGCTCCCCCACCGCCCTCTCCCACAGCGGCTCCAGCCAACCCCCCCCCCGCGCTGCCCCGCCCTCCCCCGGCGATTTGAATATGCTAATAGAGCGG